GTAGGGAGGAGACAGAGGGGACAGAGACTTCAGGACGCCCTGCTTCTGGGATCCTGCCTGAACCTGACACCAACTGGGAGGACAGTCAGGGATCTCAGATACAGGCCTGCCTTAGAGCAGTCAGGATGCCCTCCCATGAGGTCACATTTCCCACGGAATCCTGGAACCTCAGAGACCAGTGACCACAGGCCTGAGAGCCCAGGGAGCAATGACAAAAAGCCCGGAACCCAGCATCCTCCCCCCACAGGCTCGCTCTTGCCCCGCCACCTCCCTGGCACAGACCTTCCCCACAATGCTGTCCCAGGGATGGACCCCCAATCGCAGAAAGGGAGGCTCATCATGGAAAGGGCACAGGCTTCCCAGTTAGATCAGCTAGATCCCAGGGGGACTGTGCCAACCGCCAGCTCAGGCAGGTTGCCCAGAGCACCCATAGCATAAAGGTAATTGTGTAGAAAGACCAGGACACCTACACCAGGGGTGGTAGGAAGACTGACAGAGTTTACATGAAGACAGAATCCTGTCTGAAATAAACGGCTTCTCAGCATGTCATCCCTCATCCCCTCTTCACTTTCCCTTTCTCCTCAGTTCCCTTCCCCATCAGCTCAAGACCAATCCCGCCCACTCACTGTGTGACCCTAAGTCCTAGGAGGAAGCTGAGCCCCTGCCTGTGGCACCAGGTCAGCTGCCCGGATGCCAGGGTTTGCTGCCAACCCTCTGCTCAGACTCAGGGATGGGGAGCCCTTTCCCCCAAATCTGACACCACAGACCTGCCCCCACACCTTTCCCCAAACCAGAGCCCCTTAGTCTTTAATCCAGACAAGGTCTTGGATATAAGTCCTACTGTCTCTTCTTTGGAGAAAATTTTTTCTTCAAAAATAACCAAAGAGTCTCCCCCCTTAGCCACTGGGACACTCAGCGCCACCAGCCACACCATCACAGCTGCTGTCCAGGGGCCTCCAGCGGGCCACAGAGCCGGCTTCCCAGACATGATGGAGACAAAGGAAGAAGTAAGGGAGTGAGCCCGCTCCACCTGATGGCTGATGCAGCCACTTCAGAGAATAGAAATCTGAGAGAGCAGCCACACTGGGTCAGACTGGAGAGTCCCTAGGAGAGCAGCCAATCAGCACTGGAGCTGACCCACCTCATCTGTCTCCAGGCAGATGCTTTCTATGGAGGTTCTTCAGCCAGTGCCTGGAACCCAGCCTTCATCTAATTGCTCTGGATGAACATTTGAAGACTTTTCTTAGTTATAGAAGGTGAATGCCTTAGGAGTTAAAGAACCAAGAGAGAAAAGTGATTCAAGACTCGACATCTTTGTGATATTCAGTTAAAACCTATTATTCTTACACATGAGATTTTTAGGAGGGAAGTAAGTGGGGATCATGTATCAGGGAGAGAAAGTCATTGTCACAGTGATGTTCCCTCATATTAAACACTCTGGGAGCCTGAAGCCATGGTGGGAAGAGCAGAGCCGTGAGAGGAATGGTTTTGAGCTGCAGCTCTACCTTGAATGCACTTTATGAGACAACAAGTTACTCAACCTCTGGTAGCCTCGGGTTTCTCTTTGGAAAATGTGATCATATTTCATGCATTTTACATCTATATCTTCATACACACACTCACAGCAATAAGACTGCTCTGATACTGCAAAGTGTTCCGCTCTGCTGCATGTGTAGCTGTTGGGAATATCACATATAAAATGACACCAGTCTTGCTGGCCAGTGTCTTCCTTATGTGAGAATCTACTGCATTTGTGCTCTTTGAATCCAGTATTTGAAAGTTGAGTTGATTTTTATTTTTTATTTGTTTGTTTGTTTGTTTGATGCAGCCTATTGCAAGCTCTTAAAACTCTCCATGTGAGGTTTTCTCAGCCTGCCATTGGGGCCGGCCACAAGAGCTGGGGTTTAATGGCCGTGGGAGTATCTGAAGGCTAAGGAAAGATGACAGTAAATACGCCTGCTCCCTCACTTCTCCAGTGGGATATTCTGAGGTAGGTTTTACATTGAAGTTGATTTTTCTCTTCTAAACTCCAGATCCATCTGATGTCAGCAAAGGCACAACCACAAACATTCACACCAACAGGACACAGGCACCTGCAGCTCCAGGCCAGAGAGCAAAGACGTGGAGAAGCACCCTGGGGCCTGCACCTTGTGACTGAGGGAGCAGGTGTTCACACGCACAGCTCATACTATGTAGCCCCTGAGCATCAAATCCTATAGGTAAAACTATTGATGTGGTTTTTAATAAATGTATTATTTATCAGACTCCTCTTGCTCATGACTAGGGGTAGTACTGAATGGTTATAGGGCAATTAAGATGATGCCTGACAAACATTAATAAACAAGATAATAAGTCTCTCTCTCTCTCTCTCTCTCTCTCTCTCTCTCTCTCTCTCTCTCCCCTATATTTTAGGTTCTCCTTTTAAATTTGAGGATAGGATCTGAAAGCAGAACATAGGGAGTTTACCAAGTAAAAGAAGCAGGGAGGAAGCAATGACAAGAAGTCGCATTAGTGGCATGCGGAGGCCTGAGCTGGTCCCATTTTCTCTGTTGGGTGCATCGCTCCAGAGCCCCTGAGCCAAGGGATTGGCCCTGGGCTCCAACCAGCAGTGGTGGGTCAGGGTCAGGGTCACTCCAGAGTCAGGGTGGAAGCATAAGAGAGGAACATCCAACTCAGATCTGGAATGGGACTGGGGGACAAGGAAGAATAGGCAGAGAGGGAACTTGAAAGTGCATCAGTGCCCTAAGCCCCCACCTCAGGGTCCCTCAGAATCAGCAGAGGCCTCTGGCCCATCACCTCCGTCCTTTCATAGGGGGAAATTCCATCAGTTCTGTTCTGGGCTGTGTACTCAGTGCTGATCTGGGTCGTTCACTCAGTGCTGATCTGGGCCTTGCAGCAGAGGTTGTGTCAGGCCTGGGGATTCCAGGGTTTCACAGGCCTCTTCACACAGACACTCTACTAGCAACAGGGTTGTCAGCTTAGACTCCTTTTTCTGATTGGCTAAAATCTCATGTGTAAGGTCTGGTTGGGCTTCTGCCAGCTGCTTCCCCTCACCCAGTCAGCATTCTCTACATTTTCTAGATTTCTCTGCACTATCCCCATACTGGATACAGTACTCAGGGCAGCTGCTGCTGGCCTGGCCTGGGAGGAAGGCAACATCCCAATTCCAGCACCTCACCTGAACCACCTGGCTGGGCCCCTGTGGAGGCAGGGCCCTTAGAGTGAGGGAGTGTGGACCACGTGGGTAGATGTTGCAATGAAGGAGCAGCCATTAATATGAGTCCGGGTTATGGGAGGGAGACTCCCCAAGGACATTCTCTGTTTCCTCTGGTGGAAGCTTAAGCTTGGGGACTCCCTCCTGGTGGGAATTCAGGGAGAACCCGCCTTCCCTGGAATTCTTGGAATCTGCACTAGTCAGTGGGGTTCACTGTGAACATAGTAACCATCTGTCACCAAAGTGCCATCCAGGACCCATAAATCACATTTTACAGGATCTGAAGAGTCAAATTGGTAGCAGAGTGACCACGGATAAACATTTCACCACGAAAGACTCAGGTTTGCCTCATCTGTAGGTGGAACACACACCTCACAGGACAGTCATGAGAGCAGATGTACCTGTAAGAGTCCCCACGATCCGTGCTGAGCCACATGCATGTGAATTAGGATGTAATGTATGAGTTCATCTTTGTTGACATCATGAACAAAGACAGAGACGTCTTCTTGTTATTTCTCATCTCTGTTCACATGTTGGAATTTCTATGATTTTTAATCCCTACCACTTACCGCATCATTACAGAGAGAAAAGGGGAGCAGGTAGAGCACATTAGATGCATTTGACCATGAACCCCTGCATTTCCCTCTGAAGTGCCAGCAAAAAACTGCCATTTAATCACAACTTCAGCTCTCAGAGCCAGGTCCTCCCCTCAGTGGGCTCACTGAGTACAAAACACAGAGTCACACACAAATCGATGAGAGAAGAACAAAGTGAGTGCAGCTTTGTGAGCTACTTGGCCTAGGAGGACAGACTTCACCCATCTTCACAGGATTTAGAGGAAGAGGGACTGGCTGCTTCTCACTGTCGCTGCTGCCACATGTCTAAGAGCCCTGTCCCGGCTGCAGGCTGAGTGCCCCTGCACTCCCCACCCATGATCAGGGTCCTGGGCAGCTCAGCTCCGACACTTCTATGAAGTCTTGTTTCCTGTAGTTCTGTTCCCCTCCCTGAAACCCAGCAGATCCCAGATGGTGGGTACTGTACAATATTGTTATACCCCTACGGAGTTAAGGTCTTGGGTTTCAAGGATCAAAATACAGTGGGGCCTTGACTTCCGAGTGTCCCGACTAACGAGTGTTTTGAGATACCAGCTGTCTCTCGGAGATGTTTTGCCTTGAGTTGACAGAGTAATTTGAGTTAACGAGCTCCTTAACGAGCTCGGTCTCAGAACGAATTAAACTCATAAGTCAAGGCCCCACTGTACACGGATTCTCCCTTCTAGGAGTTCACATGGAAGGGGAGACACACATGAGGAAAAATGAAAGGGCAAAAGTTTGCACCAGCCACTAAGGGAAATGGCATACACACTGACTAAAGACAGTGTTGAAGGTTCAGGACACAAAACTATAAACTGGTCATGTTGGCTGTTTGTTCAGTTACTTTCTTTTCTCTTAGAATGGGCTGGCATAGTACCAGAGGATGATGATTATTTGTGGATTAATTCATGAATACTATTTCAAGATGAGGAGGAAGGGAGTCGATGGTGTAGAGGTCATGGTGGGACTGAGACAGGCATCCAGGTGCCCTTCTCAGAAGAGGTGATGGCTCAGTGATAAAGGGCCTTTCCAGGCAAGAACACTTACTGGAGTTCAGAAGGGGAAGTTTGGCAAGGCTTGGGGGTTGGGGAGGGCACTCACATCATGTGGTTTGGTATGATTACAGGTGGGATTCAGGTGTATGGGTCTTTGTATCATTGAAAGTCGCCTGACTCTTCTTCACAGTATGGCGAAACAGGGGGTTTAAGCAGAGGAGTGCCATGATGAGCTTTTCTGTTCATAAAGCCACCATGAAAGCAGATCATTTATGTGATGCAAAAGGATCCAGGTGCACTGGAGGACCCCAATCCACCAAAAACCGGTTTACCAAGGAACCAATTTGCCAATGACCAGTTTGCTAAATTTACTAAAATTATTAATGTACTCAAAACTAATTTCTTTTTTGTATTTCTAAAGGTTGTTTAAAATATGATAAGCCACAGTTGATGGTTGGTGAGTGAATGGGGGATCTGTGAGCCCTTTTGCTCCCCCGCCCCATTCTCTCACTTTCTAGGACTCTGTCCATCTTCCACCAACAAGCAGCTCATATTCCATGAAGCTTTACAGCAAATGCATTAATAAACACAGAATGAAAACTGGACAACTACAATTCACTGACAATTTCAGAAGTTGTTTAAAATACTTCGAATATAAACTGGAAAAATATTTTAAATGGTTAAAATATGTTTTGGTTGAATTTGGTATATTTAACAAATTTATTCAGCAGAGAAATTAGCAAAGAGCCTTCTAAATGCTAAAATTTATAAAATAAAACTTGTAAAAGGATTCGATACCAATATAGATATAAACTGAAAAGATTCTATCTGAAATGCTAACATTTTAATGTTCATGAGACAATTCATAAATGAATTCAATAAAATTATTCCTCAAGCAAATTGTGGTAAATTGCTACATTTACTACATCTGGTCAGTACATCAAACTAATGCATGGGCTAGTTTCCCAAAACATCACAATTGATGTTCTGGCAAATTCACTGACTGACCCATAAGAAACATCCTTAACAGTGAGCAGGAACCTCCACCTACAAGTTGTTTTTATCCAGAACTTATTTCTGGTCCCGACTTCTCAAATATAACAGCCTCCAAAGTAAACCCCAGGCACATGGGCAACCTGAGAGAAAGAGAAAGGAAATTGGGTTTTGTACCAGGAGCTTTCAAGTGTTGGTTCCATTCTGATCAGTGTGCATGCGCAGTGTCAGACCCCTCCTGGAGTCCTACCCATCCATCGCTCC